ATTAGAGAATTCCTTTGTTGTCCCCTTGTTATTTTTCCACTTGGTAAAATGTTTCCTAGAATAAAGCAACGCTGAAAATATGTTATTGGCTTGTTGTCGTGGTTCACCTGTCTCTTATTCCCATACAACTACCCATATAAAGCAAGATGATGACACCTAATGATTACTTCCAACACTGCAAAGCTTGAGTACCGCTCGAGATGTACAGTTTTTCAGAAGTCAGGATACTAACTTTGTTTCAGTCATTACAGCCTCATTTAAAAATAGGCCAAAAGTTATATGGTTAATATAGTCAGTGCCACGAGGATAAGAGCTTTTCGAAAATAAACCATAATACTATTTTTAAGGTCTGTTATAAAATATCAGCCTTGTAGAAAACGGAAGGGTGTCATACTTCTCTTTTTCTAAAACAAATGCTTGGAATTAATGAATGAGTCTTTCATAATTGGTCTTGAGTTACGTGTTGTTATCTTTGCACGGTTGGTGTGAAATCCTGTCACAAGGCTTGATGGAATAATTACACGCGCAAATGTGAACGGTTATCCTGAGAGAGATTATTTCTTGCTTTAGAATCATAAAATAGCCTCTTAATATTTGTAGGTTCACCATGTGCTTGCTGTTATGTAGCTAACTGAGCAACAGGACGTTAAATAGATGGTAATGCAGTTCCCCAACACCACTGTATAACCAAAAATGCTTGAAAGAGCAGGTATCCCTAGCTGTGTCAGACATAGTAAGAACAAGTCCTTAATAGGACATGTGAGTACATTACAGTTCCTAAGAACTGCTCAGAGAAAGTGGATGCCAAAACTTGATACCAAACCCCAGGAATATGTAGTGTATTCTACTTTTGTGTCTGTTTTCAGGATTAAGATAATTAAGCAAAAGCTTTTGTTCCCTCCTTTTTGTTCTTAATTTCATCTTGATTGCCTACCTAATCCAGGGGCAGTGATGAGCTGGAATATCAACAGATGGCTCAGTTCTGCATAAAATGGAGAAAGATTATCTCTGCTTTTTAGAGATCATAGTTCTCAAATGCCAGAAATGTAGCCAGTAAGTCTTAGTTTTAGGGTCAAGGGCTGATTTTGATCAGTCTGAGAAGGAAGGAGTGCGTGGTGTCCAGAGCTGTACACACTTTGTCTTTATTACTGTCTAGTGCCATCGTCCAACTCTGCCTGACATTCTGGCATTTTTAGTTGGCTCTTTTTTTTATCACTGCCACAGAGGTGGTTTTATTTTGACAGAATTATGCAATATTGGATTAATTTAATTCTGTCTTCATCCTTTCCTGCAACTTTGATCTTTCCCTTCTCATAATTCCTTCACTCATGTTCTAAAGACTTGTATTGTAGACACCATCTTCCCAAGCGAAAAATGGTAGATAATGTATCCAAGATATATATCGCTATATCTAAGATGGATTTATCTATCCCCAAAATATAATTTATTTGTTTTTAACTGTTAAAACATGTTAAAATCTTGCAGCCACCTTTGCAGGCACTCCCCCTTGAAGGTGCCAGCACAGTAGTCAGCTTTGCTGTCGCATTGTACTGGAAACAGGAATTCTCATTTATGTGCTCTCCGGAATATGACTGCTCTTCATTAGCAGGACAGCTGATTTATTAAAATAACAACTTGGTTGAAGAAGCATGGTATGTTTTGCATATTTCCACTGTTTTGGTTTGTTTTACCCCTGGGTTCTGACACTACTGTTGAAGTTGTTGTACCTGGTACTTGACAACACCTTTGTGGCTCCCTGGTTGCGTACAAAAATTATGTCTTTGAATGGTCTTGAAGTGTAGACCGTATTGAACCTGGATTAGTGTGTTATGCTAGAATCCTACTAAGGTACCAATATATATGCTAATGCAAGGCTACAGTTCAGGTTTGCGCTTAGTATTATCTGTTAATTCTTCTTTTCAGCCTAGTCCTGAAGTTCCTGCACAGACAAAACATCCGTTAGTTTTAACTTGGAATACGTGTTTTTGTTAATATGGCAAACGTGTTCAGCCCCAAATGCCACACATCATGTTTGTTTGGGCCTAAGGCAGATCATGGTGTTCTTCCATGCATCTAAAAGCATATTTGTTAAAACATAAATGTTGATTGCTGGATATTGTAATGGATACCTTATTTTGGTTTTAAAGTCTTTAAATTATTGTAAAATAAACCTCATTCCTTTAAAATTTGATCATGTTCAGGCCAAGAAAAGGATTTGTGTGTGACTTTTTTTCTAATCTTGCATAACTGTTCTGACAAACCGCAGATCATTTTAACCCAGAACCTCAAAAGAAATTAACTTTCCAAATCTTTGTGGGTTACAGTTCAGTTGTCTGCCAGCTTGTACACACAGTTGAGAGGTGAACTCCTCTTTCGTCATCACAGATTGAATTCTGTCTGCTGTTTCTAGCTGGAGTAAGAATTTGGGTTCTCAGTGTTCAGTAATGTTTTCTCACCTGTGGAAACTGTTAACACAGAAGCTAAAATCTCCTGTGACTTCTTACCTAGTTGATTTTCAACTTAAAACAGTAGGTTGTACTTAAAACATTAGGCTTCAAAGTAGCTATAAAATGATGTTGGTTCACTTTTGCTTTACCAGTCCATGAGCAGAAGATTATAATGGTCTGAGGCAGTGCCTACCTGAACAAGCAAGCTGGATTATAATAGGATCCTCTGAAATGGCAAGCATTTTTATCTGAGAAAATTTCCGGTGAGGAGAAAAGGAGTTAACATATCATTTCAGCATATGCAGTGCTGGTTAAAGTCCTGAAGCTGGATCAGTAAACAAGAAAAATTAATCAGTTTTTGCCTGCAGTTCAACCCTTCCTGTGCTGTGTTTTTTTAATGATTGTTTTGCTTCTAATCAAACCCCTGATTGATTTGCTAGAATCCCATAACCTGACAGTATCAGTTTGGAAAGTCCGTGGAGTTAAATATTAAATGAAAAACATGGGGAGAAAGCAGAAATAGAATGGTCTTTTATGGAGCCAAGTAACAAGTATAAAAACAAATTGATAAAGGGCCCTTTGGCTTAATCTTACTGTTCATAGGGCTTTAATAGTTTTCTTTCTGTGTTTCTGTTTTGTCATCCTAATTTGCAGAGGTAGTATCAAACCCATAAGCTGGGGCACTTTTATGTATTTATTTTTTTGCAGGACTGTTAGCAACACTGGAAATGCTGAACACGGCAATTCATGTTGTATACGTGTAATTTCAAGCATAAAGTAAGGATTGGTTTATTCAGAAACTCAATTGATTATCACAATATACACTTAAGTTAAAGTAGTCTCCTGCTGCTTACATGCCTATAAAAAGACCAGTGTTTTATATTATTCAGATAATTAGTATTTGTTCCATAACTACAAGCCTGGAATTCAATAACAGATTGAAATGCTTGGCATCCTGTTTCTGGTTTATTAAAGGTTTTAAGGAAAAAGCAAGTAATCCTCTACACAAGTCAGACTGGAAAATGTTTCCCATGTGCTTTGACATTTTATTGAATAAGCTATCTAAAACAAGATGGATGGGGCTCAGGAAAATTCACACCATTGACTTCACAGTGGTATATTAAAATATTCCATAATAAAGGTAGACTTAATTTTCAAAGACTTCAAAAATTCTCTATATTCACTGAAGTTCAGCTAAAACTGTTTTTGAATTCATGATCACAGACCCAGTTTAGTAAAACCTTCTTATGTTTAGCTACTGCATTACATAGGTTTGAGAGAGACTGATATTTAAGATCAGTCTTCTCTTAGCAAAATAATTTGGTGGTATGTCACATACTCTGAGGATGTTCTTTTAAAAAATGGTGGTCATTGGTGCAACTATATTCACAGGGATAGGCAGTGGGGGATCTTGGTACAGTACATCTTGTACGTTGCTGTTCAGTGTGCTCTTCCCTTTGAACAAGACTTTTTCTGTAGGACTTTTTTGTATATCCCCCTTCAGTTTTTTTTCTTGTGTAATTGAGCATTACAGCTGAGTTGTTGTCTCGTATGGCATAGAGATTCTGTGCGGATGGGTGCCATGTTGTTGCATTTCTGGGTGAAATCCTGGCCTCATTAACTTGAAATCTTGAAGCCAATAACTTTGCCAATGGGGTCATGATTTTATGAATCTATTTTATTGCATCCTAATGTGAAATAGCTGGTGTAGAATTGTTAGTTTAAAAATGTAATTTTTAATATATTATGGAGAGTTAATGTCTTCCATAGAGAGAATAGCAAATTGGCTCCCATCCTTATTGCTTTTCAGTATTGTCTCTGCTATTTTCTGTCCCCAGTGCTAACTTGATAACTCTGCACGTGTTATCTTTGTTCTGCTGTGGAAGATTAATAGTGAGCTCTGTATTGATTGCAGTTTGGGCTTCAGTTTGCACATGAACTTCAATTGACTAGGACTTGATATCCTTGATAGTGGAAGAGGGGCCCTTTTTTATACACTTGCACGCTGTTCACAGGATAAGAAAAATAAATAATTCCAGTAACAAAAGTGGAGGCACTGTAGGGAGTTTTAACAGAATATTGCAGCAGTCTCCACATACCTTTACACTGAGACAAGGATATTTAAAAGCAGGAGACTTGTACTTGGATTTTTTCTTTCTTTTTTTTTTTTTGTTGCTGATCAGCTGATGAAGATTGAAATGTGAGTGTGACAGACTGTGTTTATCTGTGTTCTCATTGGTTTTGGAAATTGTTTCTTTGATTCACCGCTCCTCCTTGTCTCCATATCCTATGGTATAATCCTAACTACAGTTTGGGTATAAGTGAAGAGCAATCTTAATGCCACAATCACATTTTATAATCCAGGATAATACAGAGCTTATTTAAATTCTACAATGCTCATTACTTGATATTTTGTTCTGAAGTAGATTTAATTCTTAATGTTGATTAACTTGGCATATTTTCAGCATTGCTTGACATCAAACAGGTCTGCGCAGAAATCTTCATCTTTACCAAGCTAAAATAGTTGTGTGGGGTTTTTTTTTTCTTTTTAAGGTTGTGATAAACGGTGGAGCAACATCCAGTGGTGATCAGGATACAGAGGACACAGAGCTCATGGCAATTTACACCACAGAAAATGGCATAGCTGAAAAGGTACATGTGTAAATTTTAAATACATTATACAGCTAGTACTGCTATGCTGTTCAGACAGACTCCCATCTGTTGTTTCTCTGTCTCATGGTGTTGTCATTAGTTCTCATGATGGCGGCGCTGAAGTACATTGACTTGGATTAACTTGGGAGTTTACCTTCACGTAGAGTCTGACCCTAGGTTATGGGAATTCAAAAGCTGAGGTGCAAAAACAGTAGGGTGCACAGACAGCTTTCTTAATGCCTAATATGCTGTTTTTAGTAGCTTTCAACAATGTCTGGCCTTTTTATGTTATCTGTACATCCAGAAATTTATATCCTCTCATACAGCTCTTCTATTTTGAAAGTATTTAGGACTGATAAAAATGGATTGGCTCAAAGAAAAGGAAACAGAAGACCATAGGCTTTTCCCCTCTGTGCAAAGCCCAAGTTCCTGTGGGTCCTGAGGTTACAAGATCTTGCTGCCAGTAAACTACAGAGCTGCAGCAGAACCAGTCCCTTGTTGCATGCAACCAGACTAAACTGGAACAGTATGTGCAACCCTTCTGCTTTTTCTAAAGTGCATTTTGGCAAGCGAGGTGGTATGGTTGAATGTCTACCAAAGAGTTGTTTAAAGGGACTGGTCGTACATCGAGTCTAGTTTTTTGCCTAGTTTCTGTATGCAAAGCTATGCTAATTCCAGTAGGTTGGATTTCTTAGGTGTGCTCTCAGATTGAGGACGTGGGTAATTTTGAATCTTTACATGAGTCTGTGGTAAGGTAACGATGCTTCTGATTATTGATGAAAGGTATTCAGACACCTTTGGGACATGGCAGTTTTGGGCCATTTTCTTTCTTTCTAGAAAGTTGTGGAAATGAGAATTATAGGAGACAAATACTTTCCAACATATATCTCCATATTAAGGCTGTAGTGACGTGTCATCCTCTTCATGTTTCTCATATGGCCAAGTGTCTGATCCTTCCTCTGGGTAGAGGACATTTTTATTATTTTCTCAAAGCATTATGAGTGTAAGGTTCAGGTCCTTCATATGATCCATTTAATGTTTTCTCAGTCTTCTGCTAGTAGACTATTAACTGTTCAGACAGACTCCCATCAAAAGGACACTGATCGGCTTGGTTTTGATTTTCCAGCATTTATCTAAATTGTCTCATGCCACTATCTGCTTCTTATCTGTAATTCATTGACAGAGACAGACAAAAGGTCTTCCAATCAAATGAGCTCTGAGTTAGGCTTTGTCTAAACAAACTTTTGCTCTAATTTAACTTGAATAGCTCAGACTGAATACGTTAAACCAGTTCGAGTCTTTGCTGATTCTATTACTTTGGACTATAAACAGTTGATTTTGGTTCATCATATGTATATTTCACACAAATTCAAATTATAGTTCAGGAAGCCTGCATTAAGTTCAAGACAGTGCATCAGCACAGCTTCTTGTTCCAATGTAATGATATCTCTTTAAATTTGCACCTTTAGATTAAAACCTTCTCATCTTTAACCAGTTAAATACTTGGCTCACGTGTGGAGCATGGCAACAACTATAATAACTAGCCAGGAGCTTCAAGAGATGATGATTTTCTTTTGCTCTTCCAGGAAGGAAAGAAATACGTTGGGCAAATCACTCTCTTAATCGGTTGAGGGAAGTTGAGGACATTCACATAACAGGCTTTCTTGAACTTGCTCCTTGCATTAGGGATGCACATCATCACCATACCATCCATATACAATGTAATGATTGCACTATGCCTCCATGAGAGGGAGAAGTGGTGGGCAGTAGCAACCTTTGCACGGTCCATGCTGTCAAGCATGCCACAAAGTTGGGTGCTGCTTGTCAAGTGGCCCATGAGAATAGCAGCTCAGTTCTGAGCTTGTAGATGAGCCTAACGAACTTCTGCAGTACCCATAGAGATTCAGTTCCATACCTTGAAGATTACTTGAGCTGATTATGTTAAAGGTGTTAGATTATAGCTACATGGGTCATGTGCGTAGTGGACAGTATGGTTGTGTTTGGGTGAATTGGTTCTGTAAGGAACTGAGTTAAAAGATTGATCAGGCTTTTTGTTCTGGTAGACATGCTTTGAGAGAGAAGCTCATTTATAAGGACTTAAATGTTCTACACAGTTTGCATAGGGTAGTTTGTGCAGAGGAAACATTAAGAATTTATCACGCTCCTTGAGAGAGGTCCCCAGTGTTTATTCAGCTGCACAACGTGAATTTCTAATATGGGTGAGATCTTCCCATGGTTAATGGTGTTATTTCCCTGCCTGCCCCTTCCAAGAAGCCATGAGTTGGATAGCACAGGATGATGAGCAGCAATTCAGTAAACGTGATATTCTAGCAAAATGATTAATAAGGTGATGGCAAATATTAGCAGTGTTTTCTATTTTCTTTTTATAAAAGGACTACAAACACTGGTGAGGTTGTCACTGCCTGTCCTTTGACGTTGTTTTGCTGGTGATGGGGGAGACTTTCAAAGTCATAAATGGGAGTTAGACATCCACATCCAAGTGACTTCCTTTACAGTCTTGGCCTTTTCCTCAGGTTTACCACTGCCTGTTTTTAATCTAAATTCCAAACAGGACTTGTAGTCTTATTTCATGATCAGTGTTGGATTTGAAATGTGCTTTTTTATTAGGAAGGCCATAATTAACATTTTTGGAAGGGTGCTTTGTTAACTATTAGTGACATATCTAAAGTAGTTAGACAGAGCTGTGTAGATCTGCTTCTGTAACACTACTTGGTTTGCTCTTTGAAGTTCTGAGGTGTCATTAGTAATAGCTTTGAAAGGCTAATAGCTTACCAGTATCATTTTGAATTGCAATCTATTTCAGAAGAATGTTATCATTGCTGACAAAAACGTCTAAAACACCAGCCCCCCACAAAGACCTAGGGGTTTGGATATAGAAAATCTGGTGGCTTTCTGCTGTGGAGGCTGAGTTAATTGAGAAGAGAGGCACTGTGATTTTTGTCATTCCTCCTATGACTTAAGTTCGTTAATAGAGTAACTTGTTAAACTCCCGGCTTAAATATGGTTCAGTAAAGGGGTATTTTGACAACTGGCAAGTTGCAGGTTTTACCTGATGTTGATATTGGATGCTGTAGACCATGGCCAAGGTGAAGTCTACCAGTGGTAGCAGTTAAAACCTGATAAACAGATTTATCGAAAACTGAGAATTGAATTGCACAACTAAATTAGAGGTCTTCAGATTTCAAAGTATGTATTTATCTGTCTTAATTATATTTTTATCTCTCCTCCATGGTTCTCATGTGTTGCCCCTTCTTACTCAGTTTGAAGCCAAGATAATCATGTGTAGCAACGATAATATTACACTTGACATTCATTGTTCAGCTAGCCCTGTGCTGTTCTGGATATTTCTCTGGTTTTTGTACTATGCACAAGCAGGTTTTCTGTTACTTGGCCTATAAAAACTTTATTCACTAAAGCCTACTCAAATTTAGACCATTTAGTATGACTTGAAACGCACAAACTGAAAGGAAGGGACTTTATCAATTATCCATTTACTGTTAGACGCTACTGTTGCCGTGTACAGTATCCTGTACTGTAAGCCTATATTGTGTTCATCACTTTATCAATAGCATCTGTATAAATCCTGGTGGGTTTTTGTCTTTTTTTCCATTCCTCAGCATCACTAATTAAGAACAAAGGCCACAGGCACACTAAAAATTGTTTAGCAATGATGACTACAACTTGCATAATCTGAGCAGAGTAACTATATACACACTAGCCAGTTAATAGTCTGTATATAGGACTTTTAAATTAATTGACACACGTTGGCTTCAGTACTGGCCTATTAGCAAGAGTAAAAATGAACTGGGTGCCCCTCCAATATGAATGGTTGTGAATTGCTTAGCATATGACTAATATACTTGTTGTATTATTTAAACTACTTTTAATGCATCTTACTACATTTCGTGTGTTTTATCTTTTCCTTTGGGGTCCCTTCTACTTGAATTATTTTATTTTAATAGCTCAAGGTACTTGCATCTAGATAGTTTTCACTGTGTGTTTCCTCCCCTCTTCTGTCAAGTTTTTAAGTGCCACCCACAGAATCTTAAATACCACCAGCAGAATTAAGGAGTCAGGTGATTTTCACCAGGCCATTGCTTAGCAAAGAGCCAAGGAGCAGCAAAGATGTTGGCTCCCTGCAGATTTAAGATAACAATTGTATTGTTTTCCCTTATTAGATAGGGCTTTACACTCATTATGGGTCTAGCCCATTCACTTTCTTTAAGAATGAAAGCTTAGGTTATGCAAAAGTTGATGATACATGCCCTACGACAGCTTCATGCATCATGTGCTCATGACTGAGTGGATTTCTCAAGCCCGGTGACTCAGCTGTCATTTGCAGACAAAACAGACAGGATTATAACGATAGTTGAAGACTCCTTCAAAAATAAAATAATCTCAGCAAGTATGCCAAGTATGAATTTAGAGGATGGAAAATATTTTTGGTTTACTAGTGATATAGAATGGCTAAGACTTGTACTTGTCACAAAAGATATTGGATCAGATAAAATGCTGCAAGTTTTCTGATCACTTTGCTCAGGCTTGGTTAGACTTAGACACAAAAGCCTGTGTGAGCAAACCCATGGCACATAGATCTCTGAAATGGTAAGTTGGGATAAACCACTCGGAGCTTTTCATGTATAGTACATGCTATGTCACCTACCCTTGCTTGACCTCTTTTGGTTTGCCACTCAGTAAATCTAAAGTGCTTGTCTCCATTGTGTTTTCATAATGGAGTGTCTGTTGCACAGCAGCTATCCTGCTGTAAAAACGCACCGTTTTTTCATAGGTGAAAACATCACCTTAACGGTGCTGCTGGTCTGTTAACTGGAAGTAAAAAAGAACCATTCTTCCCCGGTGACCCTAAGCTGTGCCTTTTGCTTTAATCGAACAGAAGTGCTCACTTGAACAACTGCTTTGAGTTGGCCTCTAGGCTAGTCGTATCGTTTTACTCCTCTATCCGTACCCCTGAAGTCTCCATTCTTCCACAGGCTGATGTGCAACTTCCATGAGAAGTGAAAATGTGGCCCAAGTAGTTGTGTGTTCTACTAAATCATTCTGGTGTGGAAAGCCAATGTCATGGATCAGTTGATTTGTATAAGCTGTTAGAGGATAAATGAAATGGTGGTTATTTGAGAGTCATACCTAGGTGCATTGCAGTAAAAGTAAAAAGGGGAGAACACTTAACCTGAAGTCACGAGTCTGGCAGAGTTCCCAACTTGGTTGTAGGCTTCCTCACATGAGTTTGTTCAGTCCAAATGGGAATTGGGGCAAGGTAGTAGTTGCATAAGTTATCATCCAGGGCTTAAAATGATAAAAATCAAATTTCTTCCTCCTGCTGTTGGCACTAAAAAGCACCAAGGTGTTTTGTTCTCAGCTTTAAGTCTTCTGTGTGGAAACAAATCTTTTTTACACTATTTACTAAGAAGTATTTTGAAAACAACTGTGTTGCTTTTGGAAGCTTAGCAGAATATGTGGGCAGGCTGGAAGGTATGTCAGGACATGTAGTTCAGTGTTCAGTCATTCACCCACCTCCTCCAAACTAGGACATACTCGAGTATGTAGGCCAGATTTGGATCTCAATTATTATGTAAATCCAGAGTAATTTGGTTGGGCTGTGGTAAATCAACCACCAACTTGCTCTGATATAACTATATCAGTATGTTTTTCATTAAGCACGTAGGAGTTATGACTTTTATGAGAAGAGGCTGAAAAAACTAGGGTTGTTTAGCCTGCAGAAGAGAAGACTGAGGGGGGATTTGATAGCAATCTTCAAATACCTAAAGAGTGATTATAGAGAGGAGGAAGATGGGCTTTTCCCTGTGGCTGTAGGGAACAAGACTAGGCGCAATGGCCTCAAGCTGTAGCCAGGGAAATGAAAGCTGGAGACTAGAATGAGCTTTGTGACTATGAAGGTGTCTGAGCATTGGAACGAGCTACCTGGAGAAATTGTGGAATCTCCATCCTTGTCGGTTTTTGAGAGTAGGTTAAACAAATGCTTGGATGGGATAGGATGGGATGGCTCTGCCTTGAGCAAGGAGCTGGTGAGGTCACTTCCACCCTACTTCACTAAGATCCTGTGGGGTAAAAAGCAAAAATCTGGTAGATAAAAATGGATTGAGACAACTCAAAGCAGGCGTACGAAGTAATTATTATAACAAGGAACTCCCTTGTCCTCAGTTAAGAACTATTATGTAAGTAAAGCCATTTTATGTTGAAACATCCGTTGTTGACTGTTTTTCTACATACTCATTTTTCACACTCTCCTTTTTTATATGTATATACACAAACAAGTCTATCGTGATAATCTCCATTTGCTTTGGTGTAATTTGCTGCCAGACCAGTTATATCACAAGTGAACATTATACTATGTCAGTATGAATAGGCAGGGGATAGGTTATGAGAGAGATTGAGAGAGAGCATCTTTTATACACAGATGCAGTAGCTGTAGAGCTGAGGATATCAATTGGTCGTCTCAAAGGTATGATTTGTTTTTTAAGCTGTAATGAGCATTAATGTTGTTTGGGAAATAATACAGGTGTCTTTTTCTGAGCACCTTTTAAGTAGCCTAATATTTCCAGTTCAGTTTATTCTTCTGTAATATTAACTGCAGCTGTCTTTTAATTTTTTTCCCTCCCCCATCTTTCAATTTGACAGAGCTCTCTGGCGGAGACGTTGGACAGCAGTGGAAGTTTAGACGCACAGAGAACTGACATGATATACACAATTGAGGATGTTCCCCCTTGGTACCTCTGCATATTCTTAGGGTTACAGGTATATTTCAAGATGTGGAGAATTTTTCCTTTGGTTTTGTTTACAATCTTTTTAAAAAATGGCTATGTATTTATTCATAGATGTTTGGGTCAGAAGGGACCTCAGTAGGTCATTGAGTCCAATCCCCTGCTCTGGGCAGGAAAGGGCGCCGGATTCAGATGACACCACCTAGATTAATTTAATAGATTTAATATTAATTTAATTTCACAGAGTGAATATAATAAAGATGATGAGCACTTGCTTATAATTTGCCTTCAAGGTTTTGCGTCCCTCTGAATTATTAAAGGTAGCTGGAAAGCTTGAAGCCCATTCTTACTCCATTTCCTTGAGTGTAATGTGGCAGTGGACTGGGAGTAAAGCAGAACACACAAAGTGTTAATGCGGGAGACTTTGAAAACCACTGGGAGTTTCTCTAAATACCTGCGTCTATTCAGTTTCTCCTTCAATACTGCCCAATTTTAATTCTTACTTTTAAATGCAAATAAGCCTCTTGTGGCAGGGTATTCATCCTGTTGTTTCCTACTCTCCATTTCCCTCCTCACTATACTGATATTCCAGGTCGGCTATTGCATTTGAGGAATTTCAGAAGATTCATTTAAGAAATAACTACTTGGGCTGCTATGTAATGCTTGTTGTTTTATTTCATAGTTTCATAGTTTGTAGGGTTGGAAGGGAC